GGGGCAAAATGATTGAGTGGGGGGGGGGGGCACCATGGATGCTGCATGGGGGGATTTTAAAACATTACTACGAAATATGGTATAGCTTAGCTAATTCGATAAGACCTGATGGTTTCATCAAAAACAACCTAATATTAATGTACTTTCAATACTTCAATACTAATGCAATTCATTTCTTTTGGTTGGATTAAAAAAGTTGTTGTTGTTGTTGGCTGGTAAACATTGTGCAAACTTTTTTCTGCAACGACCAAACGACCTACCGTATTCCTTGATTTTGCGATTTGCAGCATCGCGTAATATAATTTACTGTTTACTGCAAAAGCCATATTTCAACGTGTTATGCAATTATATCAAAACCTGCTTTGTAAGGCCTCCCTTCAAACTTTAACTGCCTCCGCCGCAGGCCCTTATTTTCCGCACATATCAATGGAATATATAGATCATACAGATAATCTTGTTAGTCAATCTGGATTTTTTACAAATCAAATCTTGAATTGTGCTCGACGTGTTGTTTGCATGACATGACGTTGTATTCTTGACGTGATTTTTTTGTCGGATGTGTTTTTTGCTGAAAACGACAAATGTAAGGGCAAAATGTGTGTTGCTTGGATTTACTATTGCATAATTGTATCTACAACACACCTAATACATAATACGCCTTTAAAAGAACTTGGTGAAGGCGCGTCAACTCGCATGTTGTTTCGACACGTTACAACACGGCTAACGTTCTGGTATATTTGGTTTGTACACTATATGATCTTGAATTATATTGTATTTGTAGCGTTATTCCATCGCCCGTTGTCCAGTTTTCTAGATAAAATGTTTTGTATCTGTATATTTTATGTACGTGTACCCTGCAAATGGAGTAATAAGCTCTGCATGTAGGGTTCACCTGCATGACATTAATGGCCAGTGAAGTTTGTCAATAAATAGAAAAGCTGTACAATTTAAGATTGTCGGTTTGTCATCATGTCCCTGTACTTGTACCAGGTCAAGCGTTCCGTCACTATACTGATTGCCACATGCTATCGAAAAGTAGCTGTATAGTAAGTATTTACCAGTGAGAGTACCTTTGAGTGATTGATTTTACTCAACACGCGGGCAGTGAAACAGCTAGGCAAAGTAGGTTTATGAATAGGCAAGGTATATGTAACAATCCATATCAATAGCGTTTTTCAAACTGTTCCTGGCATGTCGTAATTTGTCGTCGGTCGCTTCTAGTGTATCATTACCATTGGGATTCTGAAAACTGCGAGTTTATATCGTTAGCAGCCTAAGTCAGCGTTGCATTATTCAATAGAGTTTAAGTCTACTAGAGTTCAGTGGTAGTTGCACTTTTACTTGCACATAACACAACATATTTTTTATCTTATATACACATGCAGACTAAACTATATGGGTTCATGCGTGTTACATTGCATGATTGCACCTGCCTACGTTGCTCATGCATATATAGTCATGACGTGGTTCGTGTAGAATCCACGTTTTCTTATTCAGGCTTTAAATTAATGAAGTATTAGTTTATTTAGGTCAGAAGTTTAATTTGCTCCTCAAATTTTCCATCACTGTCGCGTCACAGGCACATTTCGTCACCATTTACTACCTTGGAAAGGACCTTCGGTCGAAACGACGAACTAGTTTTGATCTTTTGTTGTAGTTTATACACAAAACACTCTCTGCTCTGCTGAGTCTAGACTTGGTTCGGTCTAGCCTTCTGCACAGACGTTGTTAGTGGCCGAGGCCTCACCTAACGTCTGCTCACATTCGCCACACATTTGACTTCCCGGCAATTAACCAATCACAATCATCTGCACGATAGCTGGAAGATCGACCTTCAATGACCTTCACACGCATGGGCTATATTATCCGCAAGTCTGTAGTATTTTTAAATTTGAAAGTTTTAACACTGCGCATCAGAAAAAGGCTTTTCAGTCTATCATAAACGAAAAGAAGTTATATTACATAAAAATTACATTTTAGTAATTTAACAGTTTGCGATTTATGAAAACAATGAAAGCATGATGTACAATGATATCGAAAAGACTAATTTATTTGACTATGTTTACTTGAAAACACTTTAAAAAGACTAATCAATCTGGTCTATTTTACCGCCGCTATCTTGTTTTCCGCGTAAATCTCGCGCATGCGCAGACAAATTGCGCCTATGTTGCATTATTGTTGATTGATCGCAGACTGTTTCTCCGGGGGTGGGGGGTCGGCTGAGATCAGTCTGCTATCACAGACTATCAAGAAGTCGGGCATTATCTAATGTATAATAAATCAATTTTTTGTTAGAGTGCATGGTTCATAATATTTCTCCACGATTCTGATACCATGCTTCCACAAATACTCCGGTAAAAAGTCGGGTATATGCAACTTTGCTATGGTACAATCATGCAGAACCTTGTCTTCGCCAGCTGGATTTGGGAGCAAACTCTTTAATTTATTTAGCGCATCACCATGTTCCTTGGATATCGTACCAAAACTGGGAAACGTTTTTCGAACTCCCAGGCTAGCTTTCCTAAACACTTGCTATTTTCTTCCTTGATAAAATTAACGATCATAACACAATTATTTTTCAATCCACGGTCATGCTCATATTTTTCTAAGTAATCGATTGCTTGCTGGTGCTCGATATTTTGTAGACCATTTATTTCGCCAAAGTCACGATCCCACGCTATTATAACCCTCAGTGCGTCTTCCCCTAAACCGGTCAGTTCTAGAGGCGGGAACAGCTTCTTGTTCGTTTCGTAAAACTTGGCCAGTCGTCCAAACTTCATAAGACTGCTGTTACCATGGATTGTAAAACAACTGGATAGGGAACTTCCTGACGTCATTGACCTCATCCTTGTTGAAAAACGTGACGTCACGCGTATTGCGAATATTACCAAAGTTCTCGGCATTTTTGTTGTTTTGCTATATTTCCGCTTTAAAAGAGTAATATTGAAGCATAAACTGGTCTAATTGTTTTAAAAACATGCCTAAGCCACGACAAAGTATTCAAGGTAAATATTTTTCGTCTTTGTTTTGTATTTTTTTACATTTGTAGCTACGAAATTGGCGTCACAAATTTTAACGAAATTTGCGATGTATTTTTCACTGTTTAGTGCTTGAAATATTTGCCATGGTCAGAAATCGAGGTCAGCCAGCGGGTTGAACTGTGGGCTCAAAATCTCAAAAATTCAAAATGGCGGTTAGATTCTATAAGGGGAGTTATTGCATAATATACCCGTCCACTTCTAAATATTTCACTTGTTATCATAACACGCGCGCAATCAGCGGCGGCGCAACAGATTTCGTTCTGGGGGGGCTAAATTTTTTCGGCGACCTCTCCCCCCCCCCGTCGCCAAAAAAATTTCGGTCAGTGTACCACTTTAGGGTACAATATACAAAAAAAGGGACGAAAAAATTTTTTTCGGACTTACATCAAAAATTTTTTCCGGAAATACACTTTTTTTAAACAAAATATTGCAAATTTGTCCCTTTATACCTAAATTTTCAAAAAATAACTCTAAATTTTTCCCTAATTATCAAAATTTTTTCAAAAAATCCAAAATTTCTGGAGGGGGGGGCTAAGCCCCACCACTTTTACTTCTGGGGGGGCTTTAGCCCCCCTAGCCCCCCCTGTTCCGTCGCCCCTGCGCGCAATAACGCAAAATATAGCTTACCCACGCTTTATAATAGCGTGAGTATACAATTATTACGTAATCAATTTCACTTCGTATCATCTCATCATTATAACAAGTGAGGTCTTCAAAAGTAGACGGGTATTCTGCAATCGCTCTTGTGCAAAACACTATGTATAGCTATAATCAAACCTAAATAAACGTAAATACCAATACTGGCAACAGTAATCCCCTTTATTATTGAAATTTCAGAACGAATCTTCGCCAACACAAACCAATATATTAAATTTGGCGCGCTTGTTTTTATGAATATACGAGCAAATTTTAAAATAATACAGCGGTATAGGCCCTGGTAACCTAGTAACAACTCAAAACAACTCAGGAATGTAAAATGGCAGCAAGAAGCGAAGTGGCGAGCATATTTTGCTTGTTTATGCTAGTTTAGTGACTATTTCCCAGCGCTTGGTGGACTAAATTTTGACGAATCTGCGGCATGAAAATGTTATGTTTCAAGGCGTTCGGGAACAGGTTTAAGCAAGCCGTTGAGCCTTTAAATGCTGCTAAAAGGAAAGTATTGTGCACCTCGAATATACGTAGACGTGGGACCGTGCGAAAATTCGACCATATGTGGACAAATTTACGTATTGGAAAACCTCACTTCGGCAAATCATGTCGATTTATTAGGCGTTTCTATACAAAGCGAGAAGTAGAAATATAAATCTCTCGGGAACATATTTACGCTACTCGGATTGTCGCTAGATTTTCGGGAGTTAATACTGCATGGCCTTATTTGATAAATGCTTACACGTGGGACCGTGTAATTTCATTACGGGATCGAACATAAACTGCGTATATTGAATTTTCTCTTATCAAATCTATACAACGCCGCCATTTTGAATTTATTTGGTGTAAGCTTAACGCGCATGCTTGTCAGCCATGTTGTCCTTCATTTCTGGCCATGATTGACTGGGAATACTTAGAGTTTTCATCGTAGAATGGCGTGGTTATATTCATTTGCTCTTTGACTAAAATGTTTAGCTGTATTATTGCTAAACACGCCGTTTTTGAGAATTTGGTTTGCAACTAGGTTGGGACATCCAACCACGCCATCAGCCCATTGAAAACATTAGGTCACGTCAGCTAGTTTCCTATCCATTTATTTTATTATCCATGCTGTTACTTTAAGCATGTCCAATATTTCCCGCATTGGTTCTTGATGATTCTTCTCTAATTTTGGTATTGACCTTTCAATAAGATCAGTGTTGAGATTACCTGGATGCGCAATGCCATTCCTCTCCTCACGTAGAGTGTGGACCATGTCTCAATGTGTGGGCGTCCATCTTCCAAACTTCTTTTGAATCCTGCTCCATCGACCAATTCCTTCAATCTCCCGTTCATATTCTTGCATTTGACGAAATCGTCTAGTTAAGGCAATTTTTTCGTCAGAGCCAATGACAAATATTGCCAAATACGCTTCCCATACCCAAATTACTTGTTTTTAAGTTTAGATATAGGTAATGAGAACCATATTGGTGTCCTAGTAATAAATTTATGCCACAATAGTCCCTAAATGTTAGATCAAAAATGTGGTGTGAAATATGATAGTGTGATGGCCTCGTGTTGTTTGCACAATGTATGCTTGTGAAAAAATGTTGTATATGATAAACCTTAGAATAAAAAATAAAAAAACACTTGTATATGTATAAATGTGAACCTAAGAAATATAAGTGTAGGTGTAGATTTTTTGAACATAAAATTGGAGATGCGTGTGTGAAATTGTAACAGTAAAATAGCCTGTGGTGTAAAATTTGATCAGACTCGAGGAGTATGATCTTGCTGTACTAAAAAGCTTGTATGGAGGCATGTAAAATATATAAAGCGAGAGGAGATAGTCATGTGTGTAAAATTCAGTATCCCTGTACGCGGCGTTTCGTCCTTCATGGACTCGTCAGCAGGGATTGGGGTTGGCACATGTATAAGAAGGATAGAATATAGAAACCGATTTGGATTACAGAGTGAATAAACATAAAAATAGTAAAATGTGTGTATGATTATTGTGAAATAAATATAAAGTATAAAGTGTCTTACCAAATTCGCTGATATTTTTTGTCAGACGAACACGTTGGGCCATGATTGTAATCACGAAGGGATGTGGTATAACTATAGCGTTTATATAGAGCGTCTGTATGCAGCTGTATAAATTGCGTGTTTGGTCATACGCAGTGAGTGAGTAAGATGAACAGTACCTGTGGGTGTTTAGGTTGTTGTATGGATTGTAGGGGTGTTGAGGGATTATTTTGGAAATTGTGTATATACTGGGTTGTATCTGTTTACTTCATGTAATAATAGTGTTTGTGAACTTGTTATTTTATGTTGAGAGTGTTATTTAAAGTGTTGATGTGTAATGGTGTTTTGAGATATTTTTTTGAGTCTTGGGGTAAAAAATGGTTGAGCCTGGGGAGGGAATAGTGAACTGAGATAACGGATTTGAGTGTTTGTTTTACTGTTTAGGGATCGGATGTGTGTTATATTAATAGTTGTAATGTGCAACAGGCTTGTGTGGTTGGCCATTTCGCAATGCATTTACTTAGTATTACTGACTTACTGTTGTATTGAGTTGCGAAGATTGGTCTGTTAGTTGCTTTATTTGCATTTTCTGTTTTGTTAAGTATGTCATTTTGTGTGTATAGTAGTGCTTTGTTAATTGATGTGATAATGTTGTCGTGTTTGTGAATGAAGGCAATAAGTATGCTGTCCAGTCTTTGTTGTAGTTTTTTGCTGTTGGTGGTGATGCGTATATATCGTAGTGCTTGGCTGTAGATAATAGAGTTTTTGCATATTTGGCGGTAGGAGGAATCTTGATTCAGGAGTAGAGTTCTATTAGTTGGTTTGATGTATATATACGTCTGATTTGAGTTTGTTGTTGGAATTGATGTAAATAGTTGTGTCAAGGAAGTTGACTGATTTTTATTTTTTATGAGTAATGCGTAGTCAAATTTAATTGTGGGATGGAAGATCCATTTAATTGGTATAAGACCCTGTGGTGCTTCGTTGAGAAGCTTCCCTTCCAATATTGGCTCTTCAACCTTATAAAGCAACAGGACCTGATAATGTACCAAGTCGATTTCTAAAAGATTTTGCTCACGTGCTAGCCGATCCAGTTACCACCATATTTAATGCATCCCTTTCCTCTAGCGTCGTCCCGAGAATTTGGAAAGAATCAAATATCATTCCAATCCCGAAGGCACAACAACCCGAATGTGAAGGAGATACTAGACCAATATTGTTGACCTCTTGCCTCTCCAAACTGCTGGAAGACTTTGTTGTAAGTTGGCTAATTGAAGACGTCAAGGGAAAGATTGACCCTGCCAATTTGGCTGTTTGAAAGGAACGTCGACCACCTATTGCCTCCTTGATATGCTCCACTCTTGGCTCTCGCATTTGGACTCGGACTCCAACGGTAAACACATTCGTATTAGTTTCTTTGATTTCTCGAAGGCCTTCGACCGCATTGGATATAATATTCTCCGCATTGAAAAACTGCTAGACCTGGGCGTTAGGCGGTCTTTAATACCCTGGATTATAAACTTTCTTTGTGATCGAAGACAACGAGTTAAAATTGGAGAATCCTTTTCAAGCTGGCTCCCCTCAAGGGTAGTAAACTTGGTCCAATATTGTTCCTCATTATGATTAATGATTTGAGAGTAAATTCCCCAGGCACGGAAATGTGGAAATTTGTAGACGATGTCTCATCTTCTGAAAATCTTACATCGAACAGCTTCTCGGCCACTCAGTCAACTCTTGATTCTATCGATTCATGGGCAACTTACAATTGTATGAAATTGAATGCCAAAAAGTGCAAAGAGCTCCGGGTTTCCTTTCTTAAAGAAACCCCGCAGCTACCATCTTTGACAATTGATGGTCACGTGCTAGAAACGGTACAATCGCACAAAGTGTTGGGTTTAATTATTCAAAACAGTCTTAAATGGGACGAGCAAATTCGACCAATCGTCACCAAGGCCTCCAAACGTTTATACGGTCTTCGGGTATATTATGCCGCGGTGGTGTCCCTCCTGCTGATCTTACCAACACATACTTCGCTCTTATTCGTGCTATTCTGGAATACTGTTGTGAGATATGGTTTTACGCGATAC